AGTGGTGTAGGTGGTATGTGGTGGTGTAGTGGTGGTGTGTGGTGGTAGTGTGGTAGTGGTGGGTAGGTAGTGGTGGTGGTGTGTGGTGGTGTGTGGTGGTAGTGGTAGGGTGGTGGTGGTGGTGGTGGTGTAGTGGTGGTGTGGTAGTGGTGGTGGTGGTAGTGGTGGTGGTAGTGGTGGTGGTAGTGGTGGTGGTAGTGGTGGTAGTGTGGTGGTAGTGGTGGTGGTGGTGTGGTGGTGGTAGTGGTGGTTGTGGTAGTAGTGGTGGTGGTAGGTGGTGGTGGTGTAGTGGTGGTAGTAGTGGTGGTATAGTGGTGGTAGTAGTGGTGTGGTAGTAGTGGTGGTGGTAGTAGTGGTGGTGGTAGTAGTGGTGGTGGTAGTAGTGGTGGTGGTAGTAGTGGTGGTAGTAGTGGTGGCAGTGGTGGTGGTGGCAGTGGTGGTGGTGGTGGCAGTGGTGGTGGTGGCAGTGGTGATTGGATAGGTGTGGGTTCCAAACTGGAGTTGCAGACTCCAATATGGGCCTAACGTATACAGTGTACAGGGTCCTGAATGATTCCTTATTAAGATGTTGGAATTATGTTCTTAGGTTTGCTAGGTGCCCATATGCTGCAGCAGTTATTTGGTTGATATGCTCCTCATATGCCCGGTGTTATAATCACCCCAAGATCTTTTTCCTTGAGTGAGGTTTGTAGTCTCTGACCTCCTAGACTGTACTCCGTCTGTGGTCTTCTTTGCCCTTCCTCAATCTTCATGACTTTGCACTTGGTGGGGTTGAACTTCAGGAGCCAGTTGCTGGACCAAGCCTGCAGCCTGTCCAGATCCCTTCATAGTTCTGCCTGGTCCTTGTCCAATTGAATTTTTCTCATCAACTTCACATCATCTGCAAACAGGGACACGCTGGAGTCTATTCCTTCCACCACATTGTTCACAAATACTAGAAACAGCACCGGTCTTAGGACTGACCCCTGTGGCACCCCGCTCATTACAGGCGCCCACTCTGATACCTCACCACGTACCATGACTCGCTGTTGTCTTCCTGACAGGTATTCTCTGATCCATTGTAGTGCCTTCTGTTATATCTTGGAAATTGGTCATCCTGTGTTATTTAACTATTGTAAGAGAATATGTTCATCACTTAATATTATAGCGTGAAAGTCCCTGTTTATAGCTAAAATAGAGACTTTCGGCGTTATATTATTATCTGTTAATATATGAAAAATACCATGGTATTATCACTATTTTGTTATTATCACTATTTTGTTATTATCACTATTTTGTTATTATCACTATTTTGTTATTATTATCACTATTATTTTATTATTATTGTTAGGTAGGATTTCTTGTGTATATAGAGTTTAAGTCTCGGAACCATCCGGTGAATTGTTCAATTGTTTATGTCCGGCTGGCTGACGTTTGGGTCAGGTGATCCAACCTGACGACGCGTCAACAGACTGGCAAGTAGTCAGTCTGCTCCCAGCTCTAGCCCTGACAACTGATCGTATAATGGCTCTTACGGTGTACAGTTTGAATGGTTTTGAGAATTGGACTCTAGAGCTGACTCAGTTTGTTCCTCATTACTCTGAAAGATTCTTTTGATATTTATATTCTTGGTCAGTTCAGTAATCCATAGAGATACTTTACGGCCAGATTCAAAGGTCTTGTTGAATCTTGTACCTTTTGTATTTTGAGTTTACAGTCTTGTTAAGACAAAGACATAAATGTTATTGAAGACTTAATTACAGGAAGAATAATTAAACTTCCTTATTAATGTGACATTTCCATGATTTTGAACTAAATGTATATGGTAAATTTATTGTACAAAGTATTAAGTTACATTAACTACAAAGAAGATAAAGTATTGTATTTAAATGCTTTAATAAATTTGAATATTATTCTATGGAGTTTCCCAGTTGAAATTATTTTCCCTAGACTCTAAAATACCTTTAAATAACTCGGATCCAAAAATCTTGTTGCATAAGAAATAAATGGTAACAAGCCACATTCTGAAGTTCTTTATAAAATTTCTTATTCACAACACCTTCCCTGTTATCCCTGCCTGATCCTCCAGCTTTTGCACTAGTCTTTTGTGTGGAACTGTCAAATGCCTTCTTACAGTCCAAAAAAATGTAATCTACCCACCCCTCTCTCTCTCTCTCTCTTGTCTTACTGCTATCACCCTGTCATAGAACTCCAGTAGGTTTATGACACAGGATTTCCCATCCCTGAAACCATGCTGGCTGTCGTTGATAAGCTCATTCCCATTCTAGGTGCTCCACCACTCTTCTCCTGATAATCTTCTCCATGACCTTGCATACAATGCATGTCAGTGACACTGGTCTGTAGTTTAGTGCTTCGTGTCTGTCTCCTTTTTTAAATTTGGGACTACATTTGCCGTCTTCCATACCTCAGATAGTCACCGTGTTTTGACAGATGTGTTGATTGTTGTTAGTGGTACACATAGCACCCCTGCTCCATCTCTCAGGACCCATGGAGAGATGTTATCCAGCCCCATTGCCTTTGAGGTATCTAGCACGCTTAGCAGTCTCTTCATTTCTTCCTCAGTTGTATGTACTGTGTCCAACACTTGATGGCGTACCCCACCTCTCTGTCTCTCTGGAGTCCCTTCTGTCCCCTCTGCGAACACTTCTTTGAATCTCATGTTGCACTCCTCACATACTTCACGGTCATTTCTTGTGACCGTGATTACCTGGTCCTTGACTGTTGTTTTCCTCCTCATGTGGTTGTGCAACAGCTTTGGGTCAGATTTGGCTTTCACTGTTATGTCATTCTTGTACTGTCTTTGGGCCTCCCTTCTTACCTATGCATATTCATTTCTGGCTCTACGACTGCTCTCCTTATTCTCCTGGGTCCTTTGCCTTCTATACTTCTTCCATTCTCTAGCACATTTGGTTTTGGCCTCCTGTACCTTTGGGTAAGCCATGGGCTCACTGTGGCTTTTTTGTTATTTCTGTTACCCTTGGGTACAAACCCCTCCTCAGCCTTTGCATATTTTTTGTCCATTTCCTTACTCGTTTTTGACTTCCCTCCAGTTCCTGTCTTATTCAAACCCCATGCAGGAAATTCTTAAAAGCCTTTTATCCCCTTTCTTGTTTTTTGGCTTCATTCATCCGGGCCCTTTCCGCTTCTCTCTCCACTTGTAACTCTCTGTGTGAAATCAGAACTACATGATCACGGGCCCTGAGAGGTTTTCGTAGTCAGTCCTCAATATCGCACTAAAAGGGAAATACTAGGTCCATCCAAGGTTTCATCCTCTACTTTTTTTTGGGAGTGTCCCTTACGTTTTGGTAAATGGGGGTTTTTCCTTTTCACCTCCATCATCTTACCCTCAACGTTTCTGGGTCCCCTTTGGGGTCAGGTTCCCCCCAACCGATTTCCTTGCGTTTGAAGTCGCCCAAAATCACACTTTCCCCTGCTCGCGAGCCCTTTCCACCTCATCCGGTCACCATCGCTGTGTGTGTGGGTATTTGGCTTAA